CTTCTTCGTTCAAGTATATTTCCCTGTCAATGTTCCCATCTTCATTAAAAGGCGTAATATGACAAAAACAAGATCTTGAAGAATTTCTCAATAACGTGTCTTGGTTATGGTAGGTAATTCGAAGAAAAAATAAAGTGTTACTGTTTCTTATTTGTAAAAAGGTTTAAGAGAAAAGACCACAACATAATGAACTAATTCATCACAATACCTGAAAACTCTGACTTCACTTTTATGAAAAATTAAATGGTCTTTCCTTTTACTCCCGATCAACGATAAATATCTTTCCTTGAATTATGAATAACACGAATGGATTGAAATATTAAATTAAATTATCTCAAAATAAACCTTCATTTCGGTGCAATATTGAAATTAGCTTGAATTATTCATAACCTCTGAATAGTGGGTGACCCAACGGGTCACGAGTGGTCTAGTTTCTAATATATTTCAAAAACTAGAATATTTTAACAAACAAAAACATTTGGCCAAGCATCTTTTCACAACTAGAACATTTTAACAAACGGAAACATTTGGTCACCATAATGTGCCTCCGCAGGATTTATTCCAGGTGGGGAAAGCCATTGCAGAGCGAAGACCATTGCCTTGAAGTATGAATGCGATACTCTGGCTGATTATGGCTTATTTATGTATAACTAGTTTCGGCATTTATATTTAAATAGTATTATTTTCTAATACTTTCTTTTAATAAATTTCCTTCTGAAATTCCTAGGAGGGGCAAATGTCCCCTTGCCCCATCCTGCGGACGCCCATGGTTACCAACTTTTTACACCTCAAAAACTTTAACAACTTGAAACATTTGGACAGCATCTTTTAACATCTAGAAAACTTTAGCAAGCGTTTGCTAAGCACTTTCTATAAACTGTTGCTTCTGGAAACCTTTGCATAACACATCATTATGTGCGGAAACTTTACATTCAATTGGAATACTTGGAACGAAATACTTTGTAAGCTGTTGCACATATTCCTAATACCTGTAGTTGTTTGCAAAGCTTGTTTGTCAACTTTGATTTAACACATACACGCCTTCATAATTAACTCGTCCCTAATTTGTTGTTTGTTCTCAAGCACAAAGCTACACAATGGACTATTTATGCTGTACCCACCGCGAGTATCAAAACTCGATTTTTAAGGATATAAGCACTCCGAATCACCACTGAGTTGCCGGGGGGCATATTTAAGAAGTAACCAGGAATGAACAACGTTTAATCGACAAAATACATTACAGAAATAAACTTGTGTTTTACAAATATTTAGTAAACTCGAGACTAAGATATGAGGATTTTACTTTTAATTCTAATATTTCTTACCCTTGGTTTTAATAAATATGTATAAATCTCGAGTTATATAACATAAATAATTAACGAAGTGTCTAAAAAAACTTTAATTGTTACTACTGTACAAGAAACATGCTGTCTAATGTATCGAGTTGATGAAGATAGAGTGTTACATTTGCTGAAGAGACATATTTCACGCTGGTGTCAGCATGACCTGTGCTCAGCAGTTAGGTTAAACTATGACCCCTATGCTACGAAAAAACAAACGTCAACGAGTACGGCTTTTTTTTCTAAAATATTTTTTATTTTCTTGAAACTTTGGTATCAATAATCAATATTTACCTTAAATATTTCCCATATATTATATGTAAATAAAAACAATATAACTAATGAATTAGGAAATACTAGTAATCTGAAATCGATTATTAGTTTCGATTTGTGGTGATTAAACCTGTTAAAATATTGAGTTCAGAAACTTATCTGGTCAAATTGTGACTCAACAACTGGTTAATGCTATTGATGAAAATAACTAACCACATTTAAATATGTTTTTTTTAATTATGCACAAAGATACGCAAGAGCTATCTGTGCTCTGCCCACCACGGGTATCGAAACCCGGTTTCTAGCGTTGTAAGTCCGCAAACATGCTGCTGTGCCTCTGGAGGGGGGGGGCTTATATTTGTTGAAGTTAAAATTATAAATTAAAAAAAAACACGAAACAAAATGATGACGGCTAGTTGACCAAGCGAAACGTTCTTGATTTTTCTTAAGCTCTATATTTAAAATTTTTAATAGAGTAGTTATAATGATATAGTTGTTGTTGTTTGTTATTAAGCCCAAAGCGTTGTTTGTTTGTTTGTAGTTAAGCATAAAGCTACACAATAGACTATCTGTGCTCTGCCCACCACAGGTATCGAAACCCGGTTTTTAGCGTTGTAAGTCCGCAGATATACCGCTGTGCCACTGAGTTTATATATATATATATCATCACGGTCACAGCCTGTTATTATGCTCTACAGCTGGATTGGAATAGCTCATCATACAGTGAGCTCATTAAACTCTATTGTTGGATTGGAATAACTCATCATACAGTAGGATCATTAAACTCTATTGTTGGATTGGAATAGCTCATCATACAGTCAGCTCATTAAACTCTATTGTTGGATTGGGATAGCTCATCATACAGTCAGCTCATTAAACTCTATTGTTGGATTGGGATAGCTCATAATACAGTCAGCTCATTAAACTCTATTGTTGGATTGGAATAGTTCATCACACAATGGAATCATTAAACTCTATTGTTGGATTGGGATAGCTCATCATACAGTGGGCTCAGCTTACAATTGAATGTTACTAAACTTACAAAAAAAAAACTGTTTCAGTCAACTTTACGCCACTGCGGCTTCATCAGGGCTAGAATTACAAGAACTACTGCAGTGGAGGAACTTTGGCGGAAATAAAAGTTTGTTTTTATTATTATTTGGCGAGTAAAAGTCGTTATTTCCAATTTTATTGTCAAAATGTCTAAGTTCTTCCAAAACGTATTTCAAATTCTGAAAAGCAACATAATATTATTAAAGCTACTTGCCTAAACAATTACGGCATTCTGAATAACATTATGTTAATTTTAGAAATGATTGTTGTCGCTCTTGCTACTAGAGACCATAAAAAGTGGGTCACTAACACAGCATGAAAAACTATGACTGATGTAGCAAGACTTCGTTTAGGATACATGGATTTCTATCAGCTAATTTGTCATCGCAGAACTGGAAAAGTGCATACTTGAACTCAAATGTAACTAAAGTGATTACTCTCATTTAAAATGTTTACTCTGTAAACTTTGCCAACGAAAAAAACATCAATTCAGCAAGTATACGTAGTCTATATGCTGACCTTGAAATCTTGACTTGAAATATTCATCAGAAATAATCGCCTGATTCCAATGAGAGCGATTCTGATTGGTTGAGTAAACAGACAGAAGCTTAATATAAACGTATTTATATATTTGCTGCTCAGATGTTAACTTCACTTATTTTCCATCAAAATGAAAAAAGTACTAGCTGTATTTCTGCTCGCTCTCGTAGGTAAGTGCCAATTTACTAATGACAAAACGTGCTTATCAGCAATAAAGCATTTAATCTATAGACCACGTTTAAGTTGATATAAATTTGATAAAAATGTTTTGTTTTTCAAAGCAATAATTCTTTATTGTATGGTGTAAAATTTCTTAGGTTGCAGGTGTTTCGGATTTTAGCAATCAATTGATTGTTGAATTTCATAAAAAACTTAGCACGAAATCTTATGCTAGATCTTTATGTGTTTAGTATATTAGTTTGGTTTTGTCGTTTTTAATTTGACAAAATATTCACTTCATGTGATAATCTTGTGAATATCTTCAAATTAGTACCATACCTTATATTTATTGCGATATAGCTTTTGAGGGATGAAATCATATAACGGTATGGTATGAAAATTATTAAGTACTGATACTAAGTAGAGCCTTTCCGGATTTGAAGAATCTTTTAATTTTTAATCTAATTTATTTCGAATTGAATTGAAGAAAGTCGGTTCTACTGAACTAGGAATCGATCTCATTCCTGACCGTGCTGTAACTACACCACGATTGGAAAATACGGTATCTTCCTTTTTTGAAACATAACTCTAAAAGAAACCTTTACAGTTCTTTAAAAGAAATCCAAAACATTATTTTAACGTAACTTCAAAGAAAACGAAGTTCTATCAAAAGATAAACCTACTACGATCCATAAGAAAAAGGCCACTAGTTGGATATTGTGAGAATGTTATTGTGACGGAGCTTCCAGCATTTAAATTATAATTCTTTTTAAGGCACATTGTGTTGGTACATTAAGAGTAATAATTACGAAAAAACATCGTTTTTTGTAATTATTACTCTTAATGTAAATTCTACCAAAAGAAAATTCCTCTCCAGTTTACAGAGAAAAACATATTATGAAATTATGCTTTAATAACATCTCTGACGGGATGTTGTAACATAATTTTAAAGAAACACCACGAAGATAAAACTTCATGGACCCCACAATCCACTCTAGGATGATAGAATAGGCTAAGATCTATAAAGTAACTAAAGAATTTGATATCGGGAGAGAAAAAGTCCAATCTTTGAGTGCTCTGGATTTGAGTGGACTTTATAAGAAGCGTTGTAATGGACTATTAATAAGCTTTCAAAAATCAATGTAGTAATTTTTGTTTATGTATATATACAGTGATATTTTTTTCAGAGTTAACAAAACTGCTGTCTTGTTTTTAGGTATTTATGACTGTTTGCGTGGTTCACTTGTTGATTTATAGTTTGTTTGTTTTTGTTAACCTTATGATTTGTTATAAAAGTAACTGTTTACATTCTTTACCATCATATTTTGTATGTAGCTTAAAGAGGAACAAAATATGATATTCTCTCCTATATCTACGTGTTCTAACTATTATGTATTACTATTTCAGCGGCTGTAAACGGCCTTCAGCCAACAGGTAAGTTCACACAATGCTTGTAAATTCACCATTCCACAAGTATGTAAATTGTGAATTCAGTCTCAGTGGAAATGTTTTTCTTGATTCTGGTTTAATTATTAATCGTGAATTAAACTGTTAAATAGAAGAGATCATTTTAAAAAGCACAACTTCCCATAGAACGTGCTTATTTCGGTTAGCTTATATCTGATCATAACAAGGTTCTTTAGCTGCCTGGATATTTAAAAAAAGGCTTAGGCTTTCAACAATTAGAGTTTACACTTTAGTTTCTAAACTGTTTCCTAAGCAGCTATGGTCTCTTTTTTTACTAGTTAAACTAGTTTATCTGGACAGAATGTAAAAGTTGTTAGTTATTTATAAGTTGTAGAGTCGTTTATTTATGTAAGATGTTAAGTTATTGGACCAAATCACTATGTTACCTTTCTGAAATTCAAATCACAATTTAGGGTTTTGATCATATTTTTGCTTAGTAAAGTAAATTTTGTTGCTCATATTGTCAGTAGCTGTAATCAAATGAATGCTTTTTCGTTTTCATAGCTCCACTTACAATGTTCTTCAAATACAGCAGAAACCCGTTGCATTGTAATCATGTGTTCTTTTGTTTTTTTAAGCCTTCTCTACTGGGAGACAGTATCATTACAGATACAAAAGCAGAGCTTTGAGTGGAGTCCCTAATCTGGATAATCAATATTCAGGATTGGAAATTTTAGCTGATGTAACAATGCAATCTACCAGTTCTCAGTCCGGCTACAACCAGAAGACTGTTCTTTTAACGGTAAGTAAAAGTTTGTTTGCTTCCTCATCTGAACTACACCTACGCGAATAGGTCAGAGCATTGTAAAGGCAACAAGACGGCAGCATCCACCATCTGAAGTGACAAATGGACGACAGCATCCACCATCTGAAGTGACTACAGAGGGACTGATTATTATTCTTATAACGAAACCACAGCTGAAATGCGAAGCGTATATGGTAACACCAAAAAACGCATAGCTCTTCATTGGACATATGTGGACAATTTTTGTAACTTTATGCCTATTACCCATCCTCCACGGGACCGGTCCGACCTAGTACTTATCATACGGGACTGGGGATCTGAGGGTCTCAGATTCGAGATGTTGACCTACATGTTAAACTTTATCTTCCTAAGCTAATCAGTTAGGATAATCTAATTAGTCATCAATAACAGTTCATTTTAAGTGATTGAGTAAATCTGTTGGCGAATTGAGTATGTCTTAATTTTTTTGAGAAAAGTACAATTTCATTTTATAAATTATCATTCTTGTTTAACATTTTTGAATATGATTTAAAAAATAATAATCGTGAATATCTTATGGCTTCAGAAAGTTTGAACTTTTATTCCACGGTCCACGATTCTCTTGGGACGCTTTAGATTTGTTTGTTTTTACATTATTTAAGTTATTGTATTAGACAAGGCTTAAATACATCGCAGAACAGTATAAGCATGTGAATCATTACAAAATCAAATGTTGGTAAGGAGTGAAAAAGAAGATTTCGAATTTTCAGTTTAGTCTTAATCTTTTAGCAATATGAAAGAAAAATAACGTATGAATATGAAATTCCAGTTTTTGACTTTATTCACTCGATGATAATTATTCATCTGACATCAAAGTGTGTTGTAGATTTTTGTATTTTCGTTTATAATACTTATTTAATATTTCAAATTAACGCAAAGTTACACTAGATTTTGTCTGATCACAAACTATTTTCTGTACAGCTTGATAATGTCCGAGTGGCTAGCATTAACCAAAAAGTTTCTGATCCGTACCACTCAGCAGTTTACAAGGAGCACACCAGTTCCGTAGTATACCAACAGGAACTGTCCAAACCTTGTTTGGTTCATATAGAAGATGGCGTGGTAAGATGTCAATCATTTTAAACCTTAAACTATGAGCAGTGATGTTCAGTGGTGAAGCTATCTCTTCTACATGTTTGTAGGTTATGAGCAGTTGTTAAGATATATATTGTTTAAGTATTATAGGTTATGAGCAGTTGTTAAGGTATCTACTCTTCAAGTATTATTGGTATTAGCAGTTGTTAACGTACCTACTCTTCAAGTATTATTGGTTATGAGCAATTGTTAAGGTATCTACTGTTCAAGTATTGTAAGTTATGAGCAGTAACGTTCAATAGTTAAAGTATCTCCTGTGTGAGTAGTATAGGCTAGGTTTCTAAAACAGAGAGAGAACTCAAACTAAAAGTGATTTCGAATAAAATCATCATGTAATATACTGTTTGACGATAATTTTATTAAGTACTGTTTTTAAATGTATTACACAGAAAAGAATAGCAATGTAATTTTCAGCTTTGTTAGAAAGTACGTAAAAAGATGTTACTGTAATTCAATTACCTAGTGTGAGGCATTTTGTGAGTAGTAATAATTGAAACAGTATTTGTTAGAGTATTAGTGCTACGAAGTAAGAAGTGCCAAGAGGATGTATGAGATCAAGCAATAAAAAATAGCAGTGAAACAAATAGATATGCAACTAATGTCTGTATACATATAAAACTGTGAAAATATTGAGTTAATATGTCTTTTCTGAGATTATTCTTTTAATTCGTTTTATGCAGATAAATCGTAAAAGTTCACAGAATTATCATTTAGATACTCGATATTCATAGAGAAAACACCAAACTGATTCTTTACTGATTATTTGATAAAAGAAAATGCTGATTAGTTGGAAAACAAATAAAAACATTATATATTGAGTAAATATTTTAGTTCACCATTGTCATCTTAAGAGGGCGCTACACACCAAACTATTTATAAACTATCGGTAAATGATGTGCAAGGTATGATGAAATAAAAAAAACAACTCGAACTAAAAGTGGTATGCATATAAATATATATATATATATATATAATTTTTAAGTAATATTATAACCTGAAAAACTTTAAATTTTTTTTTAAATTTCATGAGATTCGATCATTTAGTAATTGATCCAGGAGATCCGTATGTTTAATAACAACCAGGTTTTTGTTAGAGCTCTTTATATATCTGATATTTCATCAATTATCGAGAAATAGCTTAATCGTTAGCCATTTGTTATACTACTGCTTATTGATATATAACCTCAAAGTTACCTATACTATTTGTTATACCAACATTTGTCAAGAAATAACTTCACGTTAGTGACAGCATCCATTCGTTACACTACTGCTTATTGATATATAGCCTCAAAGTTACCTATACTATTTGTTATACCAACATTTGTCAAGAAATAACTTCACGTTAGTGACAGCATCCATTCGTTACACTACTGCTTATTGATATATAACCTCAAAGTTACCTATACTATTTGTTATACCAACATTTGTCAAGAAATAACTTCACGTTAGTGACAGCAGCCACTCTTTTACACCAAAATCAAAGTACACGTAATTACTTTTTTTCACTGTCGACATATGTCATATGTCGACAATTAACCTTGAAGTACATAAAATAGTTACACTACCGTATTTCAACAACTAGCGTCAAAGTACACAACAACAGTTCCTTGTTACACTATCATATGTTTACAATTAACCTCGAAGTACACAAGATGGTTACTTGTAACACTAACACTTACAGAAATTTAAATACTCTTACAATGTTATACTCTGAAATATATTTCTGTTGTGAAAGAGTAACACGAACAATTACAATACCCTTCAAGTTGGTTCAAAATTATGTTTCCTTTTTATACCTATAGGTGGTGTCGATACAAGTTGAAGAGTCGGACCCACAGTGGTCGGTCAACTATAAAAAGGGTCTTATATCTACACTCCAGTTGAACCTAGCCCAGAAGAACCCAGTTGTCTCTCCAATTGAAAACACTGTACCGAGGGTAGACAAGAACGCCAAAATCTATAGTGTTTATGAGGCAAGATCTAGTTTTCCTAAAACTCTAACTTCTTCATTTACGAATGCATTTGATGTTTGCATTCGTAACATAAAGCTACACAACGGGCTATCTGTGCTCTGCCCACCACGAGTGTCGAAACCCGGTTTTTAGCGTTGTAAGTCCGCAGACATACTGCTGTGCCATTGGTGGGCCTTAAAATAAAAAGCTGTACAACGATCTTTGCACACATTGCTAAATCATTTTGTCAGATACATTGCTGTTTCTTCTTAAATGTTTCCAACTTAGCACATCCCACAATAATGCATGAAGTGAAGATGACCACCGCAAATCAGTGTTTGTATAAAAATAGCCATCATACACATAAATATAAATTTATGAAAGTTTTATATGAAATGAAAATTATAATAATTAGTAAAATAGTAAAAATAACATTTGCCTGCGATAAAAAGTAACATTAACCTAACTGAGTTATTTCTATATTAAACGTTTATTGAGCGAGTGAACTTCTCTGTTGTAGCGTCTTTAGGCTAATGGTAATCTAATACGTTTTGAAAAATACTGTAGTGAATGCAATGAACAACGTATATACGGAAATAACCATACATAATCTGTCATTGTAACAGTAGTGAATTCCAATGTAATGTACAGAATTACCCAATTATAACAATGTAATGTACAGAATTACCCAATTATAACAATGTAATGTACAGAATTACCCAATTATAACAATGTAATGTACAGAATTACCCAATTATAACAATGTATTGTACAGAATTACCCAATTATAACAATGTAATGTACAGAATTACCCAATTATAGCTTTTCTCAACAATATTCAATATTTATAATCGATCTTGAAGAAAGGAATTGAAAGCTTCTTCGACAAAAAATTTAACGTGAATATAAGATCAACTTAAGTTATTATTTTTTATTGCGATATTATTTGCCTTTATATATCAGAGCCTATATAACAAACATCCAAAACCAAACAGATGTAATATTGTTTGACAAGGCTATTTTAGTCAGTAAATATACATATGTAATATCACTCACTATCACTTTATATAGACGCTATTAGTAAGTTATTGTAGGAGAAGGATTAATGAAGAGAGTTAGAAGGTTAAAAATTACGACACTGTAATTACCTTAGAGAGTGTTTGGAAGTAACTAACGAGCACATCAACGTGTACAAAGTTTTCTGCTTTAGCATTGTGGCTGTTTTGCAAATTACAATAACAAACTTATACGCCCAACCCTTCGATTTATCAAAAACAAAGTTTGTAATACACCTCTCAAATCTACTAATATAAAAGTCGATAATTGTGCAAAAAATTATTCCGATGCATTATATTGTTATATTCAGGATGTTTTACTTTATTATTCTGCTTTATGTTTCTTAATAGGATGGTATCGGAGGGAATTGTGAAACTTGGTACGTGATCCAATCCATCCCATCTCCGTACTACCCCAGTTATGGCCATGTTATGAACATCACGAAGACTAGAAACTATAAAAACTGTATCTACAGGCCAGTGTATGCTCATTACAGTCATGATATTCGTGGATGTCCACGAGTTTGTTCCCAGACATCAGAATCAACGCACGCTTCTGAATATCCAACTCACCTTCATCACATCTGCGCGGGATGTCCAAAAGGCTATGAACCGGTAGGGATTTTAACAATAAAAGAATAATTTAGAAATGTTACGAAATCAAGTTAATTTCAGATGTTGTTTTTTGTTGCTGTTGCTGCTACTGTTGTTGTCGTTTACAGATTTCTCTTAATTTGTCTGTTGCCTCTCAAAATCAGAGGTGTGTAAAAATGGTACTTTAGATGTTTTGTCTCCCACAAGCTACCGCCCTATAACTTTTTTCTCTATGCCACAATTGATCAGTTGGGCAGGATGAAAAGAGACAAAGGATCGAATGAAACATTAATCATATATAGAATATAATATTTTAAAAGTAACAGTTTAATCGCTGAACATCAGTGAAATATTGGGAAACCAATAGGCCTGAATGTTGTTATAAAAACAAGTTACAAGGTAGCATTCTTCTTGTTGCTCTAAATATGAATTAATATTGCAGTATATTTTAACAACAAAAATCATGATCTTAATTTCTTTGAATCCAAAATTTTATTTCAATTTGTACAAAACAGAATTACAGTTAGACAAGGTGGTAAATAATATAATGAATTCTAAAAATGTGTTGATAATTTGAAAACCAAACAAATTAGAATAGAAATCTACAAAACAAGAATTAAAATGAAGAAAATATTTGTCACTCAAAGGAATTACAACGAGCAAATTGCCTGAAAATGTAATGTTTCTAGGACAACGTATTCCATTCTACAGCTTCTCGTTCAAATGGTCTCCATTGTTAATGTGTCCCTTCAAAACTCTCTCAAATTTATAATAGAACACATTTGTTTGTTGTTGATTTTTCCTGAGTAAAGCCAAATTGAGCTACCTCTTGTATCCGCCTTGGAGAATTGAACCCCGGATTTTAGCATTGTAAGCCCGTAAGCTTACCGCTGTCCCACTTACCTTTACGAGAGGAAATCAGTTTTTACACCCTAAATTTCTAGTAGTCGACAAGTTTTATTTCTATATGTGTTGCTATTTTTAATCACAATAATTATCATACGATATCTTCTATTATATAGGACACTGTGATAGCCAAATCATATTCTTATACTAAGTATAACATTAGCCGCTCGCATGATGACGTAGTGATTGAAAGCCTTGCCCACCATGGGAAAACCGTGTATTCTGCTTATCGTGATGACCTGGTAGTTTTATCGTAGTAAGTGTGAAACATTTTTCTGTACGAATTGTTTCTTCTTTTGCTTAAATGTTAACCATGGTTCGTAAACAGCCTGTTCTTCTATTCATTACAAATTAGTATATTTCGTATTTTGCTCTAGATATGAATTCATATTGCAATATACTTTAACCAAAAATAATCATAATCAGTTTATTTGAATCCATAAACTTATTTAATTTGGACAAAACAGAATACAGTTAGACAAGGTGATTAATAATATAATGAACTTTAAAATTATATTTGGATTTCGTTTGCATGAATAACACTAGATGGTGCTTACATGGCCATCTAACCTATATAAAAAGCCGGTGTGTGTCACGTCACAATTGATTTCTCGAAATAGGAGGAGTTATAATAGCCAAAATGCATTTATCCAGATAGAATAGTTCGATTACTGTTCGCTCATTACAATTTTAGTGACCAGTGTACAAGAGGACCATGACAGGTTGTCGTGAAACCTTATAAGTGTAGTGAGTGTTGGTTAATAAGCCTAAAATAAAGACGTAGTGTGGGATCAGCTAGCCTGGAGCCAAGTGTATAAAATTTATCATGAATTTTAAAATATCGATTCAATTTTAAACTTAAATCGTTTCTGAATCACCAACGTTTTGGATAAAAAACAAAACAAACATCTTTAATCAACGGAGACTCTAAATTAAGAAATCAACAATAATTTTTCCTGTATTGTTGTCTGTACATTTCATTTTATACTTTCAGCACATAGATTAACATCACATAAAAGCCATTATTGGAACGTAGTGTTACCAAAACGCACTGGCTTTTCTGCATATTAGAAGTTGTTAATCTAACTGATTTTTATATTCTATGAATACGCCTCGAATTCATTTCATGAATGATCTTAATTTTGACTGGCTCACAAAGGAATTTACTGACGTTTGACTGCCTTCACTGCACTTTTCTGCCTACTTGTTGGTCAAGCATGATTTCGCAAAATTTATTTATTTCAGTTATCTATGAAGTTAGGGTTTACCATAGGGTGGAAGTGTAGTACTTGCCCCTTCAATTTTGACGGGCTATACGCTAGCATTGATTAAAGATAAAATGATTCCATCAAGTGTTATGACGACTCATTTATACAGTTTATATTAAACACAAATCTGTAAGAAGGATCTTATCACCTATAATCAAAAACTGTAGTAAAAAGTATTAAACCAGCCTTAGGCCGGTGTCAATGAAACAAAAAAAGATCTGATATTTCACATGGATAAATGTATTTGATATTTTGAATGTATTTATCTAAATTAATAACTTTAAATATCTCACTAAATATTTTGTTTATTTACTTATTCTATGGTCTAAATAATACATTCGGTTATTTACTCGGTAAAAAAAGTAATTTAAACTTTCATATTTAAAAGTGTGAAATGCCTTCTAGCGCTGAAATGGTTATACTAGGAATATTGATGAAAAACAAAACAAAAAATCAAAATTTAAAATCTTTAGGCATAAAGGTTCGACAAACCAGTGTCAAAAGGCTTTCTAACGGAGGCTATAAATAATAATAGTATAAAACAACTCACTGAATAATTTTCTTTTTTCTTTCATACAAGTCGATCAAGTATTGTGATGAATGTATTCTCGGATATTTCGAACAAAAATGACTTTAAATCACTCAAAAATTTACTACAAATATATGTTGGAAATATTTTCACATTTTAATAAAAGTTTTTTTCTTCTCATTTGGCTTGGATGATATGTTTATTACAAATATTACAAGGGTTAATCCTATTATACGTGACGTAGCATGTTAAAAATGGCTAGATATGTATTTTGAAATTGGTCAGCATTGTTCAAATAGTAGTAATAAATGCAGCATGATCTTTATCTAATCCTATATTTTTTATTTTGTTGTAGGAGTTTCAATTGCTCTGTTTCACTGAGAGGTCATCATCTACAGTTAGTATTTTTTTTTACAATAACAACAATCAAGTTTTAAATAAACATCTGAATTTACATATACTTTTCCTCAACAGCCAAAACCTAACGCTTATATCGGTCGTCCCGGCCCAGTCCGTATCTTACGAGCTGTCCCAGCCAGTAAGGTATTCCAATTTATCCTTTCACTTGCCACAGTCCTCACTCTCACATGAACTGCCTTACAGTAGTCCTCCTTCCCCTTGGATTAGAAAGGAAAATTGGTTTCCTCAACATCCAGATTATGCTAGTTCTGGCTTTCACAGATTATCAGTAAACAGGCAGAAGAGAAATTGTTCCTTGGACATCCCTTTTATGTCTATCTTCAGTAATATTAATCCAAGGCATTTGAAAACTACAGTGAAAGAGACCTTAGAGAGTATCGCTGATGGCATCTGTCAAGCTGACCTCTCTAACTCGGAGACCATCCCTTACAAGACAATTGGTCTAATAAACGCCATATCTGTTTTGCCATATAGACATCTGAAACATCTGGTCGAAGAGATCATTTTGTCTGCCCGAATGAACGAGAAGCAACAAGTAATGAGGTAATACCACAGTTTACATAGGACTGCAAGTTATTGTTTGAAAAAAACAACTCTAAACAGAAATATTTTTTGTTTATAAAACGTAAAATATATCATTATTCTAAGATATTTAAGAATAAGTAGTTTTTAAAGGAAATATGTGGTTAATATGCAGTACAAAAACACGGAAAAATTATTTCAGCTTGAGAAAAAATAGTGGGAAATAAAAACAATTATAATTCCTCTCTGGTTATATTCATTTCGAAACGTTCTTTGATTTATCTTTTCTGGTAGGAAGATACTTTTGGACGCTCTATCTCAGTGCGGTAGCAATGATGCTGCTCTTATTGTCATAGACCTGATTGGACATGAAATGCTCACTGCGAACGAAGGTCGCGAAGTTATAGAAGGTCTCCCCAAAACTCTGGTCTACCCATCTGAAAATACAATCCAGGCTGTGTTTGTAAGCATAAATTATATCTATATGATTTCCTAACCTCCGATAAGATAATTAGTATCATATTCCACTCTGTATTAAAACATTTCGTCCTGTACATTAGTACCAGCCTTGTTCCAGCTTCAACGTCATTAATTAAATGGAAATGAAAAAAGGCATGTTACGTTCCGAAAATTTGTACCTTTGATATTAAAGTCAAGGGTAAACTTTCTGCAATAATGTAAATACCGAATTAATGAAGCTCAAAATATTAGCTAAGACATATGGTGTCAAGCTCTTCACTAGACGTTTACACAGAACTGTTAAAATGAAACTTATTTTTTAAATCAGAATACTTAACAAGTATTCATTTCTAACAGAATAACACATTGAAGTGAACCCATAAATTTATATTTAAATAATAAATTCAGATCGCTTCAGTGAAAAGTATAATAAACACAATAATGTATTCATTCGAGTTGAACTTCATTCGAACGGTAAAACAACTGGTTATTTGACATAAGTGTCATTCTTCAGACAAATCTGGCAAATATCTACTTTAAAAGCTATTAAAACAAAAAAATAGCATAAATAAACATAGCCTACTGATATCCCCAGTTTTCTAGACAAGACTCTTAAATGGCTGCCCATGTGCAAGGAGTGTGTCGTTCAATACATTTTTGATTTGAAGAAATTTGGTAATGTTTATACAGACTACGTTACAAACCAATCACTCCCCACATATTTAACATGTACAGAGTTTCGTTTTTAGGAATGTTGAATAGATCCGGGGAAATCAGATATTGTATGTCTTTAAATAAGATACATTTTCATAACAATTGTATTATCATCTGGAAAAAACTATACATCTATACTTGCAACTCAAATGTCAGTAACAACAAAAAGAAAGTTGGGATTACGATTAATGTACCAGAAATCCCAGAACAGACTCTCTTTACGTACAAGGTCCGTGTTCGAGGGACGGATTCTTCCGGTTTGTCGGTGAAAGTTAAGAATCACAGGATTTGCAAAACATCAGATCAGTTCAGTGATTTGAAATCTGATCAATGCATATCGATAAAACATAGAATACACCATATTAGCATATGATGCTCAATCGCAAATTATGATTGATGCCGTTACACCAATTCAACCACACTTGCACATGTGCATTTTTTGATCAGATAAAACCATTATCTTACTAATCCTCTTCCAGCGGACTGATAGGTAATAAGACATTGGAATATCTTGATTTATCAAATGTAAAATAAATTGTTTATAAAATAACCAGTTCATATACTTTTAATACTCCAATTAGACAATAAAAGTTCCTTTTTTATATTTTATAAAAAGAAATCAATCAAGAAATGTGGCACTAGCTTTTATTTTTTCATTTAGGAACTTTTTTTTGTAATTTAAATATATTTTCTATCTCTCAACAGGAGTTGATTCAAAATCCCAGAGTCCACGTTAACCGTACACTTTTTACTTCGGCAAGCATTAGTTTAGGAAAACTGATTCGTAAAGCGTGCGTGATTCCAGGAATGCAAACCCATCGGCATTCCCACTCAAACTTTGCCGAACAATCTGTTCCTGAGCCATCTTCTTTCTTTAGCTCCTACACAAGACAGAGCCAGGTGAAATCTTGGATTCCTTCTCCTGTGTGTAATCCTGTAGAGTACATACAGGTAAGATTTTAATTTATGTACATCTCACTTTGTAAAAACTATAACCGACAAATTTGAAGCCAAATAAAACACTTTTGTATTTAATTTAGATAGCTCTATAATTACAATCTCTATTTTACTCCTTATAAACAACAACCTAAGATTTATTATAATTTATTTGATATTACTTCAGGGGATAAATATTGATTTCAGGTGTTATTCTCACAACATCTGCCCCCCCCCCGCCAGTAAAATTCCTTATCCCTTTTCGTATCTTCATTTTTTATTACAAACATTATTCTTATTTTCAATTATACATATATAATAGTAATTTGTGTATATTTCTCTATACGACATGCATCTATACATTCGGCATGGCCAGGTGGTTAGAGCGCTCGACTCGCAATCTGCAGGTTCGAATCCCCGTCACACCAAACATGCTCGCCCTTTCAGCCGTGGGGGCGTTATAATGTGACGGCCAATCCTACTATTCGTTGGTAAAAGAGTAGCCCAAGAGTTGGCGGTGGGTGGTGATGACTAGCTGCCTTCCCTCTAGTCTTACACTGTTAGATTGGGGACGGCTAGCGCAGATAGCCCTCGTGTAGCTTTGCGCGAAATTCATAACAAAGAAACAATCTATGCATTAGATACTTGCACGTTTTGGCTTCCTTAACAGCAAGCCGAATCTCATTTTTTGTAGAGTTTCGCCTTTTTATAGGCTTATTGACAGAAATACACAATTTCTCTTTGATGCTTGGCTATCACATTGATCGTGATATTTTTAGAAAATTGGTAAATTTCTATGTGAATACTAACCACGCTAAGATCAATCTATATAGAGGTTATGATTTTTCTTCTTTAACTATGTTTTTGAATGAATAATAAAAAGAGGTTACAGTAGGGTGGTATGCATCATAGTAATAACAGAACATAGCAGTATAACATACCGGCAAAAATAAATAAGAAAATGACATTATACTTCTGCAAGACACCCCACCCGCACCTCTTTAGTTTACACATATACTTGGGGCTAGTGCCTCTGCGGAGTATGGTCCAGCTCAAGTCACTGCCATTATTCTTCGAAAATACCAGCCTACAATATTTTTTGTACCGGTATATTTTTTAAACACTTGATAACAAATTATAAGTAACGTATTTAGGGTACGAAAATATTGTTCATTTGAAAATTGAAATAAAACTGATATAACACTTTTCTATGCAGCTCAGGCAAAAGTAATCGTAATTCAAAATTAATCATATGATACATGTTACTAACTCTAGCTTGTTTTATTTTAAATCTGCTTGTTTCTCCGTCTTATCTTTCAGAAAATAGCGGAACTTTTGGAGTCAACAGGTGAATTCTACAAAAAGATAGCTTATATACAAACTTTGTCTCACACTAGCCATCCTGTGGCTTTATCCTATATAAAACCGTACGTCACTGGTCTGTCTCCAAGTTGCATAGCTCTCCAAGACGACGCAAACCCTGCAGCTAGTTGCAACTTTCTCCGCCAGATGACAATCTACTCTCTTCATCTCTTCATGTACAGACATCCCTTGAAGGTAAGCAAGTATTGTTTACTTCCGGAAAAACTGTTATCCTTCAAACTTTGCCTCAAGTTCAGGCTATATGAAGCTCATGTTCCATGAAATCCCAAGCATTTGATATTATGGTGTAAGTACAAAGTTTGAAGTGACCTTTATAAAAATCGTTTTTATAATCAATAAGTTTAAAGATTCTTAAGTTATCTGAAATTAATATTTTCTGTAAATCCATTTCGGACAGGAAATAGCTGAAATATCTAACAGTTGGTATAGTAGTGCATCAAATAACACTTTCAGATATAAATATCGCGTAGTCTCACTAACACTTTCAGATATGAATATCGCGTAGTATCACTAACACTTTCAGATATAAATATCGCATAGTCTCACTAACACTTTCAGATATGAATATCGCGTAGTCTCACTCATTTTCTCTCCTAAGATTTCACCTGGAACATTGATATTTTAGGTGGTGAAAATACTAAATAAATATAGCTTTCTATTATTATAAAAACGGACATCATCAGTTCACGGCAATATTTATAATCAATATCATTATTTGTACATTTGTAAACATATTTTAACAAGAGATGATCGAGTACTAAATAACATTTACAAACTGGGTAAAGTAACTAAAAATATTTATAAACCGGGTCAAGTATTTAAGAATATTTACATAATGGTGGAATATTAAACAAAATAAATTAAAATATCTAGTTAAATAAATGTAAACACAATTATTTCGTGTAAACGACATTACGTTTTGTAAAATATTTTGGAGAAAGAAGTGTAAGTATGATTGATACATTTAAGTAATATAAACTTTGGTTATTAAAAAGTATGCACGTTTCTTTATGAATTTTTAATCAACTGGATTGAGCTTATTTATATTTCATTTAAGTTAATGATAACCATAAAAATACGACAAAGGTTCCTTTTCTGAAGATATTTTGTTAGTTTTAAAAATGATATTTCATTTCCTGTATTTCCTTTTCTCAACAGCTCCTATCAACAGTGGTGCCAATATATTTCAACCCCAGAGAACCTTATGAGATCAGAATAGCTGCGTTCACAGTTCTACTTTACAACAATCCTCCTACTTATCTGTTAGAACGTGTTGTCACTGAACTGTGGAGCGAGAGGAACAAACAAGTTGCCAACTTTGTCTACACGTCATTGAAGACATTGAGTAATTCAACTCTTCCGTGTTTGCAACGTCTGTAAGTATAATTATGTCACTTTTATTTCGGATTTTTTTTATATATTGGAATCAATAAGACACGATCAAAAAATATATTGCAAAACATACTTAAAGTGTTAGAACCATGTCTTATAATTATCTAAGTACTGAGAATCTAGTGTTTGAAGATTTTTTAAATGTTACTGTACCAGTAAAAACTGATTTTCCTGATGCTATTTATATATTTTCATATTAAACTGAACAATTTCTATGTCACCTAAAGTATATTCTGATATTTCATACCTTATGCACCACAAATCTTATTTACCAACGATCAACATAAACAGTGATACTTAACTTGTAAGTAATGTTTGAAATTCACCTTGTGATCACCATGGAATAAACACTGTAGGAAAATATAATTAAAAAAAAGTGTTATGATTTTACGAAACACTGTTTGCAAATTAGAAAACTAAACACAATCAATTAAGTTTGAATTACATTTTATTTGCTACAAATATTTTTTATGTTCGAACATAAACAGTATTTAGAAAATCGTAATGTTTCCTCTTTGTTTTTATCTGTTTATATTTAACAAATGCTCCCTAAATAATTAACATAACATGTATTATACTTAGTAAACTGAAGTGGTCCTATGCACATGAAAGAATGTTTTGATATTATTAAACAAACGTTCATGAAATAACTGGCCTCCACATCTTTAAAAATAATTATTTTATACACTACTCTTTCTCACAAAAACCTTATTTGTTTTATATTTGTTATATATTAACAAATTAATTTGGTATTTTTATCTTTTAATTGCTTATTTCTTATTTTCAAAAAGTACATAAAAAAGCAATAACGTACTTACTAATAATGGCT